CATGATCAAAATCGCTGAATTTGCAGATTTCCGGAGACATGCAAGGTGAGGCAGCGACGAGTTGTGCCTCATCCCAGATAGCACAAATCCCTCAGTGTGTGTGTGTGTGTGTGTGTGTGTGTGTGTGTGTGTGCGTGCGCGCGTGCGCGCGCGTGCGTGCGTGTGGTGTGTGTGTGTGTTGTTTGTGTGTGTGTGTGTGTGTGTGTTGGGTGTAAAGGAAGGTGTAAATGTTCACAGACGGGGAGAACACACTTTTTGTTTTGAGCTGCAGATGTTCACTTGTTTCTTTTTCCTCCACAGATGTTCACTTGTTTCTTTTTCCTTCACAGATGTTCACTTGTTTCTTTTTCCTCCACAGATGTTCACTTGTTTCTTTTTCCTCCACAGATGTTCACTTGTTTCTTTTTCCTTCACAGATGTTCACTTGTTTCTTTTTCCTTCACAGATGTTCACTTGTTTCTTTTTCCTCCACAGATGTTCACTTGTTTCTTTTTCCTTCACAGATGTTCACTTGTTTCTTTTTCCTCCACAGATGTTCCAGCAGTGTTTGCGTCGCAGAGAGAAACGGTCACTCTGCCCTGTCCTGTGAAGAGCGGAGATGTCACATGGAAACACCTCACAGGCAGTCAGGAGGGAAAGACTCTCGTCACCATCCGAAACGGGGAAGAGAAAATAACCAACAAAGACAAATACGGATCGCTGGCAGATAACTCACTGGTTATAAAAAAAGTCGACCCGTCAGATTACCGGATGTATTTCTGTAACAAACATCGAGTTTACCTCCAGGAGACAGCTGATCCAAACATGCTGCCTGATGCTGGAAATGAACCAGGACAGACGGGGGTCCCTGCTGGGGACGAAGCAGCGTCAGGAGATGAATCTTCTGACTTGTGGAAAGTACCCGTTGGCGTCCTCGTCGGCGCTGCGTTGGTGCTTTTCGCCGTCTTCACGCTGAGATTCTGCTCGAGGCGGAAAACAGAGACACACTCCAACGTGGACAAAACGATGGAGGTGATCTACGAGGAGATCGAAGGTGTCTGGAGCAGTCGGTGAGAGAGTCGGACGTGGAGAGTCCTTATTACTCGTCCTGCATCAGGGAGACACCGAACACGAGCACGACGTGGACAGACGACCATCTGTACAGCTCGGTGAACAAGCTGAGCTCTGACGGAGACGGCAGGTACGAGTGTGTGTACAACCTCGCACAGAATCCAGGAAGTGTGTGTGAGAAGTGAGCGTTCAGTTTCACACGTGCCTAAAACTCCTGAAAATGAAGTTCATGTTGTTGGGACTCTGTTGCTGCTGTGTCCCGCCCCCCCCGCCGCCGCGTCCTTCTTTTCACGCCATGTCCGCCAAGGATTTCATGAACATAAGAAATGTTCACAAACTGCTGTTTGAATGTTTTTGGTTCAGCATGACAAAATATAAAAACTGGAAACAAATAATCAGGATCAGAATCAGAATCAAGTACATTTACACATAAAGGAATCTGACTTGGTGTGTTGGTGCTAAACAATTAACAAGGAAATAAATCAGAACTAGAAACAACTTAAATAATACAGAATATGAAGATATTACAATATATAAAATAGAATTTAAAAATGTTACATATAAAAATAAAAAACACAAAAGCTAACATGTAGGAGCTGTGCAGTGGACTATGAGAAAACATCTTAGTTTGTGTAACTACTCACAGAGAGCATGTAAAGAATTTACATTTTTAATGTGGGCGTTCATGTAACGCATAAAGAACAGTTCAGCGTTCACATTACTCTGATGTTTTGATGTAAAAGCACATATTCAGAAGAAGGGTTGTTTCTTGTACAAGTTGAAAGTCAGAGAGGTCCTCCTTCAAGATGAAAACACCAAGAGACCCCTGCTGCTGTGAGGAGCACGTTTGGGTTGCTATGACAGAGCATGGCTGGATTCCATTTGTTCCATGTTGCTGAGGCCCTGTCCCAAAGTGAAGTGTGCGTTTGTTGAAAGTGGACTCAAAGGAAGAACCAGAAATATCTCATAAATCCAGTCTGTCCTGTGTAAATGTGTCTCTGAGTCCTGACTGTCTACAATGAGGGAGAAGCTCGAGTCCCGCTGGCTGTGTTGTTGTCAGAGCCGTGTTTACATGGACGGGACGGCCGGCTCCTCCCCTTGTGTATAAAAGCTGTTTTAGTCAAGAACTAGAGAGAAGAAGAAGAACATACTCACTGATTATTAAATGAGAAGTTCAAATATTCCAACGTGGCCCCTCCTCCTCTAGAAGCTCCGCCCCCTGCAGGACGTAGTGTGTACATTTACTGCTTGTAGCTACACTGCAAGCTAACGCACACTAGCGCAAGTTAACCGCCGGTGTTTGTCACCTTCCTGTGGACTGTATTTTATTTTGAAGGAACCAGCTAGCTTCACTTTAGGAGAAGTCTGGTTTTAGAGTTTAAATTGATGGAACGTGCAGCCTCAGCCCTGCAGGGTAGCCTCGATGGACCATGGATGGATACTAATCAAAGAATATAAAAAAGAGAACTTAGCTCAAAGATGAAATGAACAAGTGTTTAAACCTTATAAGTAGAAGGCAGAAGGAGCAGTGATGATGATTTCCTGAGCGATCTGTCAGAACTTTAATCTGTAATCTCTGGCAAAGAGTCTTTGTGTTTGTAATGTCGTGTATGACGCTGTGTTTGAGCTGTAGGCCTGCTTGTATTTAGTGCATCATGTAACGAAGGATTACACTCAACTACAATAAAAAGGGAATGTGGTCTTCTCTGCATCGACATGAGACTGTGAGGTTTCTGTCTTCTCTCACCTGTCCTCCTGCTCACACACACACACACACACACACACACACACACACAGATCAAAGTTGAACACAGTAAGGCCGACTGTGTATTAATATATCTGATTCAAACTGAACCTCAAAATACACACATTTAATTATGAACCAGTAAAATCACATTAAACTAAACATTATGTTTTTCTATTAATGCTTGTTCTTTAATTTTGATCAAACAGGAGTGTATTAAAATGTAAACAAATTAATAATAATGTTTTTTTGGATAGCCTATATGTTGTTTTATTTATTTGTTTTTTAGATTACATCATTCTGTTCGTTTCCTTCATATAAATTATTTATGAACCCCCCTCCTTTATTTTGTTCCCCATCAAAATGTAAAAGAAGCGTTTTTAAATAAAGATTCATTCAAAGAAGAAAAAACAGCCGCTAACGCCGTTGCCATGGCAACGCCCTTTGTTTACATGTAGAGTCCTGAATCTGCAGCTCGTGCTCACGTTTGAATGATTAGAAAGGATCCACGAGGCCGCAGGATGGTGAGAAAAGCCCCTCCTTCAAACGAAACGTCACAGAGAATCACACACGTGTCGTTTAGCATGTGTTAGCTTAGCATCAGTGAGATAATAGCGTCGTCAGTTAGCTAGCTAGGTTAGCTAACGGTGTTTTGTTTATGTTTGTTTTCTTCCCGCCGCAGAAACCCAAAGACAAGAAGAAGGCGGCGCAGGGGAAGCAGTCCGCGGGGGTGGACGGACTCTCAACCGAAGAGAGGTCCAAAGACCAGGTCAGAGCTGCTGCATGCTAAGCTAACGTTAGCATCTTCTTCTTCGTTAGGTTTTAAAGGCGGTTGGCATCCAAAGAGTTGCATTACCGCCACCCTCCGGATTTATAATGATACTACAGGCTCTTTACTACACACTGAAATAACTTCATACATCTTTAACTCCCTCTACTCCACACACACACACACACACACACACACTGACACACACACACACACACACTGATACACACAGTGACACACACACACACTGACACACACACACACACACACACACACACACACACACTGACACACACACTGACACACACAGTGACACACACTGACACACACACTGACACACACACACTGACACACACACTAACACACACACTAACACACACACTGATACACACACTGATACACACACTGACACACACACTGACACACACAGTGACACACACACTGACACACACACACACACTGACACACACACTAACACACACACTAACACACACACTGATACACACACTAACACACACACTAACACACACACTGACACACACACTGACACACACACTGACACACACACACACACTAACACACACACTAACACACACACTGATACACACACACTGACACACACACTGACACACACTGACACACACTAACACACACACTGACACACACTGACACACACTAACACACACACTGATACACACACACTGACACACACACTAACACACACACTGATACACACACACACACACACACACACACACTAACACACACACTGACACACACACTGACACACACTGACACACACTAACACACACACTAACACACACACTGACACACACACTAACACACACACTAACACACACACTGACACACACACTGACACACACTGACACACACTAACACACACACTAACACACACACTAACACACACACTAACACACACACTAACACACACACTAACACACACACTGACACACACACTGACACACACACAGTGACACACACACTGACACACACACTAACACACACACTAACACACACACTAACACACACACTGATACGTAGGGAGCGCACCGGAGCAGTTGAGGGTTTTGTACATTGCTCAAGGGCACCATTCCAAACCCGCTGAGGAAGGTCTTTTACCTTCAGAGAACATCTGATATGAATCGACGCTTCATGAACAAAGATGGATTGATATTGAAGATTGCATATTTCTCTCTTCTCGTGTCGCAGGCCTGTAAGATCACAGGTGATGCGTTTGAGGGTCCTGAATGTTCATGTGCATGTGTGTTAGTCGAAGGTTCATGTCGGGATGATTCCCATTTATCGAATCCCTGCAGATCTAAACCACCTATTTGATTTTATTCACTGCAGCTTTAGTATTTATTGTTCAGCAATATTGTGAAAATACTCCAAAATGTCTGATTGGTCTTCTCCATATTCGAGCATTTTTGTTTTTCCTCCGTCAGCTGGAGGAGCACATCGTCCGCCTGCGGGAGGAGCTGGACAGAGAACGGGAGGAGAGGAGCTACTTCCAGCTGGAGAGGGACAAGATCCAGGCCTTCTGGGAAATCAGCAAGAGGAGTCTGGAGGAGACCAAGGCCGAGCTGAGGATCAGACAGAGGGAGAGGGAGGAGGCGGAGGAGCGCCACCGGGTGGAGATCACTGTGAGCTGCACAAACACACCTGTAGTAGAAACCATTTGATAACGTGGCAGAGAGTCAGAGGCAGAGTTTTTTTTATTTTATTTGAAACAGGTAAGCAGTAGATTTGTTCAGCCTGCAGCTGATAAACAGGATGTAATGTCTGAAACAAACTCAAAGACGAGTCCAAAGTAATATCCACCTTATGACATCACACATTGACCTTATGACATCACACTTTGAGCTGTTTGACCTCACTTTGGGATCTCTAACCACTTCCTGTTTCTGTGCTTAACTTCATGTCCTAACATTCACTCTACAGGAAGGGCCTTACTGTAAGTAGTAAAATCAGGTAAAGTACTCTCAGCTTAAGACAGTACAAAATTTCAAAATAAAAGCCTAAGAAGTTTTATTTATTTATTTTGAAAAACATGCGATTAATCACGATTAACTGTTGAAAGTCAGCAGAGGGGAAAATGAATTGTTTGACAGCCCTCATTTTTTTAACAGCCTCTACTTTTCGATGCTGTCGATCATCAATAACGCAGATTGTGTCTTTTAAGACACACGGTTGGGCACCGATAGCTTATCCGTTATGTCATGCGCAGCGGCTGTTAGTTCAAATGCAACCCTCGGCATGATAGATGCATACCCCTCCCCCCACTCTCCCCAAAACCGCTCTGGAGACTCAACAGCTGTCTTATCAAATAAAGACTAAAAGGCCCAAAACACATCTTTAAAAAAAAACGTGGTATGAAAAACCAAACCTCTTTAACCAGCGTATCCTCTTTTTACAGCTGCTTACTTTAAAACCAGTGATGTATTGTAAATTAAATTAATTTACATTAAATTAAACATTAAATTGATTAAAATCAGTGATGTAAAGCTTTATAAAATCTTTAACACATCTTAAGAACATTTTAAAAAAGGTGTGTTGAACATCTGAACTCTGCGTGACCACCCCCCCTTCAGGTGTACAAGCAGAAGCTGAAGCACGTCCTGTCCGAACAGCACAGCACTGTGTCGGGCCTGAAGATAGACGTCGTCACGGCCGCCTCGCTGATCCAGAACCAGAACGCAGAGACGGAGCTGGGGCTGCGGGGAGAGGTGCACAGCCTGCAGGCCAGCTACAGGAAGAAAATGTTCCACGACGAAAACTGCATCAAGGAGCTCAAACTGGTGAGGCGGCGTTTGTTTTCACACTTTGGTTTTTTGTGTGTTGTGTTTTATTTATTTATTTTCTCTTCGTGTCCCAACAGAAGCAGCAGGTGGAGCTGATGGAGCTGACCAACGACTACGACAGGAGAATCAGAGGTGAACTATAACACACAGTCTGAGCTCCAAACAAAGCCCCGCCCCCTCTCCCTCTCTCTTTCTCTCTTTTTACACGTTCCCCTGTTCTGTTCCCCACACAGACATGGCGGTGAAATTTAAGAATAAAATGCAGTCGGCGCTGGAAGAACACAACAGAAAGAAGAGTGCTGAGATCCTGGAGCTGGATGAGCGATGGAAAAGCCACATCGTGACCCTGGTGGAGGATCACAACCGAGCTCTGTTACACGCTGAGAATTTATTCTCTGAGGCTCACAATAAAGAGTTACAGCAGCTGAAATACAAGGTGACGCAGACGCAGCACGCCCGCATGAGATTCAGGGTGCGTCTCATGTCTCTTTTTTATCGTTTCCTCGCTCCTCGCTCCAACCCGAAGTCGTTGAGTGTCGCCATGGTGAAGTCTCTTATTTCGGCAGCGAGTATCGAGGAAACATGAGACCAGCCCTCCCGGAAGACTTTTTACTGACAGACACGCCCCCTTATTAAATATCACTCATTGATTGGACGTTGCAGTAGTGTTGTAGTCAAGACCACAGTAACCGAGACAAAGACATACCCGAGACCAGAGAGCTCTGAGACTGAGACAAGACCAGGACTTTTAGGGATCGAGACCGAGTCAAGACCAAGACTTTTAGGGGTCGAGACCAAGACTTTTAGGGATCAAGATTAGGGATTGAGACAGAGTCAAGACCAAGACTTTTAGGGATCGAGACCGAGTCAAGACCAAGACTTTTAGGGATCGAGACCGAGTCAAGACCAAGACTTTTAGGGATCGAGACAGAGTCAAGACCAAGACATTTAGGGATCGAGACCGAGTCAAGACCAAGACTTTTAGGGATCGAGACAGAGTCAAGACCAAGACATTTAGGGATCGAGACCGAGTCAAGACCAAGACTTTTAGGGATCGAGACCGAGTCAAGACCAAGACTTTTAGGGATCGAGACCGAGTCAAGACCAAGACTTTTAAGGGTCCAGACCGAGTCAAGACCAAGACTTTTAGGGGTCGAGACCAAGTCGAGACCAAGACTTTTAGGGATCAAGACCAAGACTTTTAGGGATCAAGACAGAGTCAAGACCAAGACATTTAGGGATTGAGACCGAGTCGAGACCAAGACTTTTAGGGATCGAGACCGAGTCAAGACCAAGACTTTTAGGGATCGAGACAGAGTCAAGACCAAGACATTTAGGGATCGCGACAGAGTCAAGACCAAGACTTTTAGGGATCGAGACCGAGTCAAGACCAAGACTTTTAGGGATCGAGACCGAGTCGAGACCAAGACTTTTAGGGGTCGAGACTGTGTCAAGACCAAGACTTTTAGGGATCGAGACCGAGTCGAGACCAAGACTGTTGGGGATCGAGACCTTGTCAAGACCAAGACTTTTAGGGATCGAGACCGAGTCAAGACCAAGACTTTTAAGGATCGAGACTGAGTCAAGACCACGACTTTTAGGGATCGAGATCGAGTCGAGACCAAGACTTTTAGGTATCGAGACCGAGTCAAGACCAAGACTTTTAGGGATCCAGAACTTGTCAAGACCAAGACTTTTAGGGATCGAGACCGAGTCAAGACCAAGACTTTTAGGGGTCGAGACCAAGACTTTTAGGGATCAAGACCAATACTTTTAGGGATCGAGACCAAGTCAAGACCAAGACATTTAGGGATCGAGACCGAGTCAAGACCAAGACATTTAGGGATCGAGACCGAGTCAAGACCAAGACATTTAGGGATCCAGACCGAGTCAAGACCAAGACTTTTAGGGATCGAGACCGAGTCAAGACCAAGACTTTTAGGGGTCGAGACCAAGACTTTTAGGGATCAAGACCAAGACTGTTAGGGATCGAGACAGAGTCAAGACCAAGACACTTAGGGATTGAGACCGAGTCGAGACCACGACTTTTAGGGATCGAGATCGAATCGAGACCAAGACTTTTAGGGATCCAGACCAAGTCAAGACCAAGACTTTTAGAGATCCAGACCGAGTCAAGACCAAGACTTTTAGGGATCGAGACCGAGTCAAGACCAAGACTTTTAGGGGTCGAGACCAAGACTTTTAGGGATCAAGACCAAGACTGTTAGGGATCGAGACAGAGTCAAGACCAAGACACTTAGGGATTGAGACCGAGTCGAGACCACGACTTTTAAGGATCGAGATCGAGTCGAGACCAAGACTTTTAGGGATCCAGACCAAGTCAAGACCAAGACTTTTAGGTATCGAGACCGAGTCAAGACCAAGACTTTTAGGGATCCAGAACTTGTCAAGACCAAGACTTTTAGGGATCGAGACCGAGTCAAGACCAAGACTTTTAGAGGTCGAGACCAAGACTTTTAGGGATCAAGACCAAGACTGTTAGGGATCGAGACAGAGTCAAGACCAAGACTTTTAGGGATCGAGACAGAGTCAAGACCAAGACTTTTAGGGATCGAGACAGAGTCAAGACCAAGACTTTTAGGGATCGCGACCAAGTCAAGACCAAGACTTTTAGGGATCGAGACAGAGTCGAGACCAAGACTTTTAGGGATGGAGACCGAGTCAAGACCAAGACTTTTAGGGATCCAGACCGAGTCAAGACCAAGACTTTTAGGGGTCGAGACCAAGACTTTTAGGGATCAAGACCGAGTCAAGACCAAGACTTTTAGGGATCGAGACAGAGTCAAGACCAAGACTTTTAGGGATCGAGACCGAGTCAAGACCAAGACTTTTATGGATCGAGACCGAGTCAAGACCAAGACCATAAATATCACTAAAACATCATCATCTAGTTTTTAGGGGGCGTGTCCCTCATTTAGACCGTAACACCGGGAAGGTTGCGGCCGTAACCGGGGGATAAAAATCAAACAAATGAATTGAAGTTATTTGTTCTTTTAGAAAGAGACGTTTTCCTTCAAATCTCAGTAATGACGTTGAAAAACAACCGATCCAAAAAAATCCAGAGTCCGCACAGACCGTGTAAAAATGCTTTTGATTCTGAAACGAGACCTAGACCTTCATAAACTGGATTAGATGTAAGCCTAGACTTTGGAATGACCATGAGGCCCCCCGCCTGCGCCTGATGATCTGAGGCTGCCCGCTGTCTTAGAAGGGTTCTGTAACATGGCTTGGAGCCGGAATGATGCGTCAGTCTATTGTAAAAGTAATTTGAAGCTTTGTGCGTGTGTGTGTGTGTGTGTGTGTGTGTGTGTGTGTGTGTGTGTGTGTGTGTGTGGTCATGCAGGAAGAACTGGTGGAGGTGAAGAAGAAGCTGGTGAGAGAGGAGAGGAAGCTAGCAGCAGCAGGGCAGGAGAACAAACATCTGCAGAAGTGTCTGCAGGAGGCTGAACAGAATCTTCCCCAGCTCCAGAAACAGCTGGAAGAACACAACAAGGACAGGACCGAGATGTTGGTACGTTCACGGCACACTGTGCAATTATTCTTTTAGAAGAAATGAATCTGATATCTGTTCAAGTTCAAAGTAGTCTCCGGCTTCCTATGCGGTCTATAGGCTACTTAGAGTACTGACTATGTTTGAGTTATTTCTGCACACCTGTGTCCACTGTCACCTGCTGCAGTTATTAACTTAGTTCTACAGTTAAAGGTCACATATTCTCCTCCTCTTCCTCTTCTTCAGTGTAAATAAGTCTCAGATCTCCTCAAAACATGTGTGTGAAGTTTCTTGTTCTAAATCCACTCTGATCCTGTATTTGATCATGTCTATAAACCCCTCTATTTCAGCCCTGCTCAGAACAGGCTGTTTCTGTGTCTGTACCTTTAAATTTGTAAATGAGCTGTGTCTGACCACGCCCCCTCTCTGGAAGGGCTCGGGTGTCTCTGTCTTTCTCGCTCCATGTCCTATTGTTTACGGTGAGAAGGCAGACTCAGAGGGCAGAACAAACACCTAGCTGTGGGAGTGTCACCCACCTGGGGGAGGGGCTACTGCCCTTTGTGATGTCATGAAGGGAAAATCTCCAAACGGCCTGTTTGAGCACACATTTTCTGAAAAGTGGAGTAGGTAAAAGACGGAGAGGATGGACTTTTCTCATCATTGGGGGGTTTGTAGATGGACTAGAGACACATGTTGGAGTTAGAGGAACATGGGGAAGAGGATTTTACAGAATATGTGACCTTTAAATGAGAGCACACAGAATGATTTGTTTAACTTTTTACAACAACTTAAAAAGCTTATACTGGTTTGAAGAAATCCCTCACACTGCTGCTGATGTGTCTGACAGAAAACAAGAGCCCGAGTGAAGGTCATCGAAAAGGAGCTGAAGGATCTGAGCGTGGAGCACGAGCTGCTGCTGCAGGCCTTTGAGAAGGTAACCAGCTCACGTCTCCAGTTTCCCCTTCGCTCCGCCTGCCAGGTTTCTGTAAAGGGAGTGTTTTTGTTTTTTTCCGGCAGGTTCAGCAGGAGCGCGATGAGCTGCTGAAGAAACAGACGGCGGCCATCCTGGACGTGCAGCAGCTGTGCGGACTGAAGGAGATGTTGCTGGAGAGGAAGTTGGCAGCGCTGACGGAAACTCTGGAGACGAAGGAGGCGCAGCTCTGCGCTGTACTCTCCGCCTCCAACATTGACCAAACTGCGAAAAAACTTGAGGTACGGTTTCAAACTTATGTTTCTACCTGTTTCCAAATATGAGGGTACCACAAGGCTCTGTGCTGGGTCCCTCACTATTTACAGTCTACATGAGCCACCAAGCGGTCCGGTTCAGGACACAAAGAGACACCAGCTGAAACTAACCTGAAATGTTTTTACTGACGCCAGTGTCAGATAAATAAGATATGCTGTGTGTGCTCTTTTTGTGTTTCCTGATTCAACAAACGTCTGATTGTTCTTCTCCTGCTCGTAGAAAACGCTGGAGTCCAAAGTCTCACCATCAGCGCCTTAAAGGGGGAATTGGCTCGAGACTGTTAGGTCAGTAGACAGATTCTCCTGGATTAATCAGAGACAATCGATCGTTGAATGTGTTGATGACATGAACAACGAGCTGCTGCAGCGCTCCAAAGAGAGTCTGAAGGCTCTGGGAGTCCCTCTGTACAACTTTCCCTTCAGACTCTCGGGTCAGATCCTCGGAGGACGGACTCGGGTTCAGAACTCTCCCTCAGCTGTCGGTAAACTCTGACCTCCTGCGGGTGTGTGAGGTCCTCACTCACCTGCTCCACCTGCACTACTCGCCCTTTCTACCTCACTCTCTTTTCATGATTCCTCACAGACCAGCGGGAGATCGTCAGACGTCTGCTGCACGTATTTAAAAAGTAAAAAGACGTTCTGATCTTCTTCATCGTGTTGCAGTGAACTTGTGTTTTCTTTATCATTCTTCTGCTGACGTCTCTTTTTGTAAACCCTCCCCCCCCCGACACACTCCTCCTACAACTCCTGCAGGGACCATCACGACCCAAATGTCGGATATTTTTCAACCATTCCGATTTATTCATGAAAAAGTGAACAGTTTGACCTCCGGCGGTACAACAGGAACAAAACAAACATGTTCAAAAAGCTCTTCACAGATTTTTGACACTTATTTTTTCAGCGACCCACTTCTGGGTCCCGACCGGCCAGTTGAGAACCACTGCTGTAACAACAATACTGACCTTTTGACCTCAGACATCATGTGACCACTGTTTCCTGCTTCGATCTTCATCTCTGTCTAAGTGCTAGTACGTACATGTAAGGTCGCCAGAAGGCTAAATATGGGGAATAAACGTGTTTGTTTAGCATCATTTTCTAACTGTTAAAATCCTCTTCTCCATGTTTCTCTGACTTAAATATGTGTCTCTAGTCCGTCTACAAAGCCCCCAATGATGAGAAAAACAGATTCAGTCGCCCAGATGCTGCGTGGACACGTTACTGATGGACACGATAAAACCTGTTCCTGTTATCTTGAGACTGAACGTCCCATTTGACCTCAGAGGAGATTCTGTTGAAAGGATATCCTCACAGATGAAGCCGCTGTCTTTACAGAAAAACTTGACATTTGACCTGTATTTGTCTGGATATTCACACGTGATGGTGGTTTTAACCGTTCTATATGCTGCAGTCTGATCAAATGGATCCCCGCACAAATCCTCATCTGCAAACAGAAAAATAAAAAATGCAAATGTGTCAGTCTGTAAAGGCATGTTTAACCTCAGCAAACATTTACTCTCTATGACCTCAATCTGTAGTTTCAAGTGTTATTTTGTGTAAAATTGTCGTGTAATATTCATTCATTTAAAAAACGTTTTCCTGGTGATTTCTGAGAAGCATCAGTGTTATGAGGAAGTAATGTATCAGAAACAGCCAGTAAATGTGTCGTCACGTCTGCCTTTCAGCTCGTTTTAGTTCCTTAAATAAACAGCACTCAGAGAGAACAAAGTCAACCTTGAACCTTGAATTACTGTGAAGATGTATGTCAGTATTCTGTTTACCGTCGAGGACACGTTTTACTCGCAGCTCACATGAGAAATGAAACAATAATTTCATAAGTAATGTTCTTTTTTTGTCTTTTACCGTGTGTATGAAGGGTTCTCACAAATATTAAAATATCAAAGATAGCCTGGCCTGAAGTTGCCTTGACAGTACATTTAAAAAAAAAAAAACGTAACACCTACGCTTCTTCGATGTATCCTTCCTCTATTTTTAAATTTGCAGTTCATCATATCCTCTTCTGCAGAAACCGTGTGAGGCAGGTAAATAACCAGATACGCTGGAAGTAGCAGTCATAACCACAACATGTCAGAAATAGGAAGCAAGAGACAAGAAGAGGTGGAAGCAAGAGGTTCCATTGAGTCATGACGCGTTACGTTTGGATGTCAGGATGGGTCAGTCGTTTGAATCTATAAACAGTGAGACGCTAACAAAGCTTCAGAGAGACCGCGGGGAACGGAAACATCAGAGATGATGATACATCACCACACTTCATCAGACGTTATTAATAAACTGAGCTGCTGATGTAACATCTGATGTTGGAATAGACCAGCACGAAATCTTCATCCTCCTCCTCATGTAACATGTCTGAGTCGCTTCTCGCTCACCGTGTCCTCACCGCACACAAGCGTTTGATATCGCGTCACATCGTGAACCATCGGACGCCCTCTCTCCACAGAAGTTCAAGAGACGATATCTTTTTTAAAGATTTTTGTCAGTATCGAGATAACGATCGTATAGTGATGAAAAAGAACAAAACCAAATGGTTGGCTGCCAACGTACGCCATGATCGTGAGTCTGCCCGCCTCGCTCAGCGTCAGTCGTATGAGACGCGAGGAGCTGGATCACGGAAGTGAAGGTTTATAGCATCGTCAGCTGTTTCTGTGTTTCAGGCGCCAGTAGGTGAGGCCGGGTCGTCATGGACTGAGAACACACAAACGCTATTTGACTGGTGAATAAATCGCGTGATATCGGCGCATAGCTGCGATAAAATGAGCCGATAATGATCGTCACTTAGATACGCTGATATGGGGCGATACAATCGGCTGGAGGATGAATCGCTCGAGGTCTAATCTAAAGGGGATGAAAACAGCTGATGAGAAAAAAGGGACTGTAGCGGGTCGTGGTTAGACCTCAGAGGCAGCACACTTGAACGGAGAAAAAACAGTAAAAGGTCGAGAACGAACAGAAATGAACTTCTGAGGCTCAGAGGCATCTGACACACACACACACAAGATCCTATGGACATGCACTAATGGAGAGATGTCAGGGTGACCACAGTGTCTGTGGTCGTGACAGCCCACAGTGGGCAGCCCACAGTGGGCACACCTGAGCGACCAGACCAACTTCCATATTTGGTCCACACTGGGACTTGAACTGGTGACCCTCTGGTTCCCAACCCAAGTCCCTACAGACTGAGCTACTGTTGGATCTTTCTAGCACAAATATTTCTAGAACTGTTGACAGATTTAAACCTGTAATTACACCACCCAAACACTGGGAAAGGTGGGGCGCTAATGTGCCTTAAAACACTAGTTGTCATGCGACGTTAAAGAGAAGAAAAAGACGACAAGCAGCCAATCATGACTTCTGGAAAACTTCATGAAAAAGAAAACTTTCATGTCTTATCGTGACAATAATCGACATCGACTGATATGAACATTTTTTATCACGATGATGTTTTTAGTCACATCGCCCCGCCCTACTCTGAGAGCGCCGACCTCCATCTGAGGAAAGAGTTCCCTTCTAACTTACCTTTTTGTAATCTCTATGCTAAACTAAGCTAAGCTAAAGGTCACCTGGCTGCAACATGTTTTCATATTCCCCGTGAGGTTCAGTGGATAAAGAAACACAGAGGACAGCAGTTTGGTTTGGTACATTCCCTTTACTGACATTCAATGTCTCATATTTGTCTAGATAGAAAAACTATGCACATCAACATTTACACTTTCTTTACACACACAGTTTGGCTTCTGAACGGGTAGTGTTCCTGTCCAGCTCGGATCTCTACAAACCGGACCTCAACCGGTCTCCTGTTCAAACAGCTGATGACGGAGACGGGCGCCTCTGGAAGACGTCAGGGTGGAGTCCCTGCAGCTCCACGAGGAGGCCCATCTGCTCACTGACACCATGTTTGATTGGATGAATAAATAAAAAGATAAACATTCCCCTCTGCAGTAATGACTCGTTTGCTAAATGTAGGAAACGTTCTGTCTCAAAGTTTCTAAACCTGGCCCTTACTTTTAGGGTGTTTATGAATTTTAGACTCAAAAAGATTTCATATGGTTTCAGCCTGAAACAGAGAGGCTGCAACAGACTCAGAGTTTGTCCCTTACAGGCTCCGGTTGTTACTCTGTGTGACATCATCACAGAAAGGATCCTGCAGAGAGAGACCTTTGTGTTAACGAGAAAAACGGAGAAAGGAAACAGTTTGTCTCTTCTTTTAGTCATTAAGTGTTCTTAAAAAAAAAAAGGACCAATATTAGAACGCCGTGAAGAAGTGAAACATGCAAATGTCTGACGTTAAAGGAAGAATGTGCGACATCAAGTCTGTCCTGTGTAAATGTGTCTCTGAGTCCTGACTGTCTACAATGAGGGAGAAGCTCGAGTCCCGCTGGCTGTGTTGTTGTCAGAGCCGTGTTTACATGGACGGGACGGCCGGCTCCTCCCCTTGTGTATAAAAGCTGTTTTAGTCAAGAACTAGAGAGGAGAAGAAGAACATACTCACTGATTATTTGGATGTTAGTAAGAGTTTTTAGATCACGCTCATTCTGTGTCAGTTTACATGAAATGTGAAGCTACGAGCTAACTAAAGAGCGCTAACATTAGCATGCTAACACAACAATGTGAAGCTACGAGCTAACTAAAGAGCGCTAACATTAGCATGCTAACACAACAATGTGAAGCTACGAGCTAACTAAAGAGCGCTAACATTAGCATGCTAACACAACAATGCATGTGCTTCATGGTCGTTCTAATTGATAACTTCATGTGAAAGTGAGGGGGGTTGGAGGTGTGTCTCTGGAGGATAGCAGAGGCTTCAGTATGGAGGAGGCGTGGCCTTGTTTTGGTTTCATGCTGGAGCTCAAGGGCGCCATCTACTGGATCAAAGAGTCGCACATTCTTCCTTTAAAAGCTGGTTAATTACTGGAACAAGTCATAGAAATCCTGATTGTACATATTTTACGTCTATGAATCATTTAATAAATGAATATTTGTTCCTGAAGAAGATTTTCTTATGAACAGTTCTCATCGTGTCGATGCTTTCTTCTACTTTAAGGCCCCGTGTCCACACAGCGTTTTCTTTCGTGCTGAAAAGCGCAGACTGTGTTCGTATGTTGAGATTCAAAACGCTGCTCGTCCGTCCTGTTCTTAAAAACCGCCACTGAATGACCGACGCTGCCCCGTTACCTTTCACTGCATGTTTTATATTTGAGGTTGTTTTTTTTTCTTCACTGTGAGAATCAAACGGAGGATGTTCGCCCTCCTACTCTGTCTGGACGATGAGCTTCATGAGAATGACGGCCTCGCTGTCACGCTCCGATCAGACACAGAGAGCGAGGACGAGGTGGCCTCGTAAGGAGGCGGAGATAATTGGAATATCAAACATCCTGAAAGAGCGTCAGTGACGTGAACAGCGCCTTTCTGAAAAGACGAAAGATCTTCAACTCTGAGCAGCCGCACAGAAAAGGCTGAGCGCTCCCAAAAGAGACGCTGGGCGCTGTGCTACTGCTTCAAACGCTCTCTACTCGTGGGCGACGCTAGCTGTGAGGACACGGGGCGTAAGAGAGGGGAGCTGTGTATAAACATCATATCTGCATGTCAGTACATTTATTGAAGCATTCATTGCCAGGTGCTCAGCGTCATCAAGTCGTCTAAAGATCGAACAGTCGGATCATAATCGACCCTGAAGACATGTTTGACTTCTTTTAACTCTTCAAACAGAGTGCTACATTTATCACATAAAGTAAGTGCAGAGCATCGCCGCCATGTTTGAGATATTCGCCTCACAGGAAGTCCCGAGGCTGGAGAGGAAGTTGACCTGCATGTGTTTTTTTTTCCATTCTCTGACCTCCCGAGGTCGGAACAAAACGCTCTCTCCAGCACGTCACGTTGTCTTTTCTTTTTTTTTTTTTTTTTTGGTTTGGAGAAAGTTTGAGGCCTGTGTCAGCCGGTGCCGTGGCTGCTGTACTCGAAGACGCCCTTCTTAAAGAACGGTGAGAACTCACAGACGGCGTGTTTGGTGAGATGGAAGCCGCCGTCTGCGTCGGCTCTGAGAGGAGAGCTGGAGGACGACAGCATCACCCTGAACAAGTTCCTCAGATAGCGCTGCAGAAACAAAAAAAGCAACAGGAGAAGGTCACTTTACCTCAAACGTTTTCTATGTTCCTATAAGTTTGATCTAAAAGCGTAAAAAACTCACCTCGAGCTGGTTACGGCGCTCGGCCACCATCCGCTCGTCTCGGTTTCCAAACAGTTTCTTTGGAGGGAACTCCAGAGCAGCGAGCTGAAACAGAAACCTCCAGCATCAATGACGTGTCTCTGTCACAGAGCCTCAGCCTGCTGATAAAACTGTAATGAACCGCTCGTCTCACCTCGGGGTATTTCAACTTCAGGCTCTTGTGCATTTCTCTAAAGCGGCTGTAACGTCTGAAAACGGTCCACATGTCGTCCATCACAGAGATCTGACGGAGAGAGAGAGAAACGCTTGGTACAGAGACAGATGATTTACTGAATTTACTCAAATGTATTTGTAGATCATCCAAACTTTGACATTGGGCTGTCAAAAGATTAAATTTTTTCACATTTAAAAATAAAAATGTTACTGCCTTCAGCTGGGAGTACTTTACTTACTGTTTGAATCCAACCCTGCTTTTATTTTGAAACATTAAGGAAACATGCTATGTTGAAGTGCTGGCTTCTCTGACAACAATGCAGCAGCCAGTATGTCCTCCTTCTAACTTTAGATTCTGCTCCTGAATGCTCTGGATTTGTTTGGACCAGAGAAGGTAGGCGCTTTTAAGGCGACCACCACACGGCTGTTTTAGACGCCCCTCGGTTTGTCAGATATGAGAGCAGTTATCAGGTCAACAGGTGTTGCAGCGATGGAAGCGGTCAAGAGAAGTGGTTCAGATAGAAGTGATTGTACCCGACCTAAAAAGCCTCTGCATGTTTCTAATAAGCTCCACGAGCAGAAACGTGCTCAAACTAGGATCAATATTGGAGATGCTTTTGAAAAATGGAGAGAGGTTAGAACACAGAAAGGTTTACAGACCCATGCAGAGCTGGAGAAACACTGAAGCTTCAGAGTCCACCACATGGTGACCTGAGTGAGCATCCACTCTAGAGAGGAGGGGGGGGGGAGACAGCTCTATATGATGTTTAGAATTTAGACTGCAGTACCCATTTTAAACACTAGGTGTCAGAGTTACAGAAACAGGAAGTGGTTAGGGATCCCAAACTGAGGTCAAACATCTCAAAGGAATGGTAACAAAGGTCAATGTGTGATGTCATAAGGTCAATGTTTGATGTCATGAGGTGGATATTACTTTGGACTCGTCAGCTGAGCTGTGTGAGAGTTTGTTGAAGTGAAATGAGACATTCAAAGATGCAGCAGTGTCCTTCTTTTACATCACTGAGACTACAGGGAGACACTGAGGACCACTATCTACGGAGAGCCTGAAGGGTCAAAATAAAATGAGATTAACTCGCTAATGCTGACAGACCTTTATGAAAAATGAATACTTGATCCTGCTTACAGACTTTTTAGATTCTCGCTTTACGATTATCTGAGTGAAAGTTCACCACCGTAGAGAACACACGCAGCTTTTTGAAACAACCACTGGATACGTTTACAGAAAATGGATTGCATTACAAAAGTATAAAAAAAGGAGACATGCGCCTGAGAGAGACGGATTGTACAGTACAAGAAGGTGAGGAAGATGACGAGGATGAACCCAGTGGAGAGAACTCACCTTCACCTCGAACTCAAAGTGCTCGTCCTTCCCCTGTCCGCGGAGGACGTAACGAGGAATGCTAATCCTAACTGGCTCCTGTAGGCCGTCGGGGCTCGTCCCCAGAGGACGAGAGACCAGGTGCTGCAGAGGGGAGTCACCGGGGGAAGAAAGAGAGATGGGAAACGAAGAGAGGGAAGAGGAGGAGAGTAAAGGGTTGACAAGGTGCTGCAATGAGAATGACTTATAACAGGAAACATGGCTCAGTCTTTATTCCCACCATACTCTCTCAATGAAAACAGTTACAAGGAAAGAGTTGGTTCATATATTATTCACACTCTGTTAGTCATCATTGTACAACATGAAAAACCGTCTCCAAGTATCGCCATGACAACTTCTCTTTAAGATCATCACCCTCCTCCCTTTGAATCAAATCACAAATCATAGAAGTTCACATTCTTTAAAACAGAGAACAAACAGACAAAGCACATTTTCCAGTTTTATTTCATTCATTCATTTATTTATCACAAATACAGGAACAAAGACCGACAACAGTTAGAGACAGAGTCAGCAGCTTCTTCCTTCAAAATAAAATACAGACTTCTCCTAAAGTGAAGCTGCTCCATCGTCCCTTCTAGGCCTCCATATATGTGTGGTGGTGACTGTGTCTGCAGAGACTCTGTCCTCTGACTGGGTTTTACTGTTCTGCTTTGTTCTGGTTGACTGGTGTGTTTCCTCCTGTGTAAAAAGTACCAGAATCCCCCTTTGCTGTGCTTAATGAATAAAATACTTTAATATATGTTCAAAAGATCATTTTAAAATCCCTTTCAGATGTGTCCATTTTACTTTGGCATGATCAAGAATCCGATCAGGTCTCGTCAAAGGGCAACAAAATAGTCAACATATCTTAAAACAAATAATTTAAGTTGATTTTGGACCCAAGGTATCACATTGAGTTTGTAGATGAATGGTGGCACTGCCTTAAGCTGTGCTATCTAGGTGCACAAATTATTTATCAAGATCACAGCTTCTGAGGTACAACCAAAGGACAACTTCCAGGAGTCGCACTGAGGGCCGCCTGAGGGCACTTCAGCTGAGACTGGCCTGGAATTCTCCTTCTGTTCGGGAGCTTGTAGTTTGTGAGTTGTAAAAGAGATTTCCACAACCAGCCAGTTGTCATTCTGCCTCAGAAGAACGCATTTGATGTCAGAACGTCTGCGAAGTTCAAGTCCCTGGAACTGTGGCTGGGAGGGGACCAGACTGGAGCCCCTCTGCGCTGGATGAAAGACACCGTCCTCCCGGAGAAGAGCTACATGAGTGTCAGTCAGGAGGAACTGAAAGATGGTGTCCTGATGTACACGGGTAGAGTTCATGACTTTGACGCTGGTGTAAAGCAGAGGATGGATGTTTGCCAGAGAAGGTTTGTCAGGACCGTCCATGTTCCCGTGGACGATGTAGAGCAGATCTGCAAGGACGCGCTTGAATCTGGAAGTGATGTGAAAGCCATTGTCCAGGACGATCTCAGGAACATTTGATGTCCAATCCAAAGAAAGCACCATGAGGTCGCCTGAGAGTAACGGGTGTTCTTCAGTCCCTTCAGAGAACTTTTCAGGAGAAAGGGTCTTCAGTAGGGTCTTGCAGAACTCCTGTGTGAGCTCCTTGCTGTGGGTAAAAACCGCCAAAGCTGAATCATCACTGCATCCAATTAGGCGGATATGCTGCCCTGCCAAGCTTATCTGGACCTTTTTGATTTCCAGAAGATTGAAACTGTGAAAAACAGATAAGGAGTGATCCGAATTCATTTCACTTGACACCACTATTAGATAATTTTCTGACAAAAGCAAGCACACAGGCTTTGGATTTGGCTGCTTTTTGTTGGCAGTTTTGAGCCAGAAGATACTTAAAATCTTCTTGATTTCCATTTGAGGAGCCAGATATTCCAACTTTTCCAAAATCTTCTGGGATGAAAGTGACTGCAGCTGAGATAAGGCTGGTGGGAGCTGGACCAGCCTTTGATAAAACACTTGAGGAGAAGTGTTTTTCAGAGACAACACTGAGCCTTCAGGCCACCCTGAGACGCCTGGGATCGTAGGCATGCTGCAATTCCGAGGAAGACTAAGGGCGTGATACCTCGGCGGATCAACCAACATGACTTTGTTTTCTGATGGAATAGAAGGTTCTGGTTCTGGTTTAAGCTGCATCTGATGAATCAGTGGAAGGTCTTTCGACACCATGGTCACATACTGAGAGAGCACCACTTTCATATCGTCTACTCCTACATTTCGGATGATGTCCCGTGTGCCCTGCAGCCTTCTACCAGCATCTTTGTACGCTTCAGACAGCTTGCCAGAAAAATAACCCAAAGCATAACTACTGCCGACCATCCCTTTCCCAACTGTTGAATCCATCACTTGTTTCAGTTGACTTTGAATGCCTTCCTTTGGGTTTTGCATGAATTTAACAAAACCAGTGACAGAGTTCTGCAAATCTAATAATTGATTATTGCTAGAACCGTTGACAGAGTTCAGCGACTTTGGTGACTGATCATCGATAAGTCCAGAGACAGAGTTCTGCGACTTTGGCGACTGATCATCGGTAAGGCCAGAGACAGAGTTCTGCGACTTTGGCGACTGATCATCGGTAAGGCCAGAGACAGAGTTCTGCGACTTTGGTGACTGATCATCGCTAAGACCAGAGACAGAGTTCTGCGACTTTGGCGACTGATCATCGGTAAGGCCAGAGACAGAGTTCTGCGACTTTGGTGACTGATCATCAGGAAGACCAGAGACAGAGTTCTGCGACTTTGGCGACTGATCATCAGGAAGACCAGAGACAAAGTTCTGCGACTTTGGCGGCTGATCATCAGGAAGACCAGAGACAAAGTTCTGCGACTTTGGCGGCTGATCATCAGGAAGACCAGAGACAAAGTTCTGCGACTTTGGCGACTGATCATCAGTAAGACCAGTTACAGAGTTCTGCGACTTTGGTGACTGATCATCAGGAAGACCAGAGACAGAGTTCTGCGACTTTGGCGGCTGATCATCAGGAAGACCAGAGACAAAGTTCTGCGACTTTGGCGGCTGATCATCAGGAAGACCAGAGACAAAGTTCTGCGACTTTGGCGGCTGATCATCAGGAAGACCAGAGACAAAGTTCTGCGACTTTGGCGACTGATCATCGGTAAAACTTGCATCTTGTACGACTCTTGGGTCACTTGCTTGGTCTTTGACGTTGTCCTTGGCGAAAGAATCCGACCGTCTATCCCCAAACAACTCTTTGGCCGGAACTTCCGAAACATAACAACCAGAATCATTTCTTTCCTTTTCAGTGATATTCTTGATTTTGTCAAATCTGTTGGTCGATGTGTACGCTGAGGTAGAACAGAACTTTCCAATATTAACATGGTCTCGTTCATTAACATTACTGCTTTCTTCTCCAGGCTCATGTTTTCCTCTTCTTTGCAAACAGTTGTTAAAGTCATCATCTCCATGAGTCATTTGCTCTCCTTCCAGCCAGACGCCAGTGTTGGATTTCTGTTCGTCTTCTCTGTCAAGCTTTAAAAAATCCTTCTCTGGTTCACCAAACATGTTTTCTGGGATGTGAGGAGGAGAGTCTGCTTCGAGCTCCGGGGCAGGTAGGAAGCTAGACCACAACCCGGGGGCTTTCTGTGTGCACAAGGGGGGTGGGGAGTCCATGACTAAATCGTCAAGAAGGATGAGAAGGATCTTTGAATTGTACTGAAGTCCATGATCCACCCCAATGACAATTACAGGTCCGCCATCACCAAGTGCACAGGTGAGTTAATAGTGATTCAAAATTGAAAGTGTGAGGAGGTCTGGCATGCAAATTAAGATGGAGAGTGTACAAAAATATATGTTTTTTTGGAAACGTTCAACACCATAGGAACATGGATAGAGCAGCATTTGAACATCATTTATTCCATATTCACAGAGTTCTTACAACTGGTTATAGATTTCTACCTGTAACATCGTCTATGTAGTGCCTTATCCAACTGAAAATAAGTTCTTCAGCGAAATACATAGACAACTCAAGTGGTGCTAAATGTGAAGACTGACTCAAGAGTCACAGAATAAGTGATTTAAACCGCTCTTTTCCTAAAGTTGTTACTGCCAAATACAAGCCAAACCAAACCAGTCTGAAATAAAGTGAATGGTTTAGGATTAAGCAAAATAACCGATCAATCAATTTTCATTTTTGACAACCCTTAAGTATTCAAATGGAAACCAGCATCAAATCCATTAATTATACATGGAATCTTGTTCTGATTTTTCTTGTGTAATTTAGTATTCCATGCAGATTAACAAAATAACAGGCACTTCTGTTTTTCTTATCACTGTCATGTCGTAGCAGGTCGTCAGATTAGTGATGATAACCCCAGGGATGTAACGATACCTCACCATTCGACAATGAAACATATTGCAACACCACCAGAGGGCGCTGTATGCGATTGGCTCCTTTCGTTGGACGTCAGAAGCTGAAGCAGTTAGCACCTTTTAGAGTCACTTTTTATAATTATTTTTGTTTTGAAGGTTTATTTTTGGGCTTTTTTTATTCCTTTGTTTATAGATAGGACAGTGGGAAAAGGAGACACAGGTCGCATTTGAACACGGGCCACCCGCTTGGAGGACTTGACCCTTCGATATGGGGCATGCACACTAACCACTAGGCTACCTGCGCCCCCACTCGAGTCCAAGTCATGTGACTCGAGACCACACCTCTGATCCACACACACACAGCGCTGGCTCAGCTGATCCTGTCCCTCCTCTGTAACGCCTCTTTTACTACCTTTGAAGACGCTACAGAGGGGGGATCGACGTCTGAACAGAGCTATGGACTGAATTTGATTTTAAAAAGCCCAGGATAATAAATAAAGTTTCATAACATCCATAAAAGTACTCTATTCTCATGTCTTTGATTTTGAAGATGAGTTTCATATGGGGAGGTGAGTGTATCGTTACATCCCTTAGTATTCCTAAAACACAGATAATCAATCTTACCTCATATTTAAGCCTCCTTGGATTCACGTTTTGCAGCTTTTCATCGTCCTGAAATCATAAAACCAAACATCACCTTGCCGTCCTGCAATCATCAAATATTAAATACGCATTTGAAATGAAAAAGCAGCATCTCTTATTGGGAAGAAGTATCCTCGTTGATTCAGGATGAAGGGGGGAACAAATCAAAGAACACAAACAGGGTGAATAAAAACCGGTCCAAATCAAAAGGAGCTTGAAACCAAACTGATGGACAGATGGGAGAGAGTGGATCCATCACCGGGGGAGAATCATGCAGATTGCAGAGCAGGGGGAATCTCATTAGGTCAAACAGAGCAGGTGGATCCTGGTCTTACCTCGTCTGTTAATCTAACAGAGCTAGAGTCGCTAACTTCCTCCTCCTCCTGCGGGGTTAAAGAGCTAGATATCAGTTCTACACAGAGACACGACCTGCAGCCTTTATCCACTGATAAATAACCTCGTACTTGGGAGACGTTTTGGACCACGGCCGACAGTTAGACAATAAAACCTCTGCTCTATGCAGACTTATCGGTTCACATCTGCACTCCTGAAAATATCTAGATAACTTCAGGAGGACTGCTGCAGATATTCTCCTGACCTGGTTGTTAACACATGCACCTCACATCAAGAGATTGGTACCTTGTGGCAGACATTGGTGGAAGTTTTTACAGGCTTACAACTGATACAGATGACAGATTTTCTTAGTTGCTTTTTCAGAGAACACAAGTTATTAATTTCTGTCA